CAGTAGTAGTAGTGGTAGTCGTAGCAGTTGTTGTGGTACTGGTGGTGGTGGCAGTACCAGTCGTAGTAATAACACTTGCGGTAGTGGTGGTAGTAGTAGTAGTAGCAATTGCCGTAGTAGTTATGGTAGTGATAGTCGTAGTCGTCGTCGTAGTCGTAGTAGTAGTAGCAGTAGTAGTAGTAGTAGTAGTAGTAGTATAGTAGTAGTAGTAGTAGTAGTAGTAGCAGTCGTAGTAGTAGTCGGCCTCGTCGTAGTGGTAATAATCGTAGTAGTGATAGTCTGAGTCGCTGTAAGAGTAATAGTAGTAGTAGTAATCCTAGTGCAATAGGTGTCGTCGACGGAGAGGTAGCCGTACTCGTAGTCGTAGCCGTGGAAGTGGTAGTACTAGTCGTAGTAGTAGTGGTAGTAGTTGCTGTAGTAGCAGTAATAGTAATAGCCGTCGTCTTAGTCGTAGTCGTAGTCGTAGTAGTAGTAGTAGTAGTAGTAGTAATAGTAGTAGTAGTAGTAGTCGTAGTAGTCGTAGTAATAGTAATAGAAGTAGTAGTAGTAGTAGTAGTAGTAGTAGTAATAGTAGTAGTAGTAGTAATAGTAGTAGGAGTAGCGTTGTTAGAATTACTGTTGGTGTCCGTGCTTGTGTTAGTGTTATTAGCAGTAGTGGTACTACTACTAGTGCTCATCGTCGTTGGGATTTGAGTGGTCGTAGTCGTAGTCGCAGACGTACCAGTAGCAGTAACAGTTGAGATAAATCATCGTGGTAGTAATAGTAATAGTAATAGTAGTAATAACCGTAGTAGTAGTGGTAGCCGGAGTATTAGTTGTAGTAGTAACACTAGAAGTAGTAGCAGTAGACTTAGTAGGATGAAAAAAAGTAGTAGCAGCAGCCGTGATAATAGGTAGCAGTGGTAGTGGTAGTAGCAGCAGTAATTCTAATAATAATAGTATTAGTAGTAGTAACAGTAGTCGTGGTCTTAGCCGTAGTCGTAGCAGTAGTAATAAGAATCGTTGTAGTCGTCGTCGTCGTAGTAGTAGTATCAGTCGTAGTACTAGTAGTAGTAGTAGTAGTAGTAGTAGCAGTAGTAGTAGTAGTAGTAGTAGTCGTCGTGATCGCCTTAGTCGTAGACATAGTCGTAGTAGTAGTAGTACTAGTAATAACAATAGTAGTAGTAGTAGTAGTAGTAGAAGTAATAGTAGTAGTAGTAGTAGTAGTAGTAGTAGTAGTAGTAGTAGTAGTAATAGTAGTAGTAGTAAGCGTAGTAGTAAGAGTAGTAGTAGTAGTAGTAGTAGTAGTAGTAGTAGTAGTAGGAGTAGTGGTAGTGGTAGTAGTAGTAGTACTTGTAGTAGTAGTGGTAATAGTAGCAGTAATAATCAACGTAGTAGAAGTATTACTGTAGTAGTTTTAATAGTAGTAGTCGTAGCCGTAATAATAATAGTAGTAGTAGTCAAGTAGGAGTAGTAGCAGTAAAAGAAGCAGTAGCAGCATCAGTAGCAGCAGCAGTAGCAGTAGTAGTAGTAGTAATAGTAGTAGTAGTAGTAGCAGTAGTAGCAGTAGTAGGAAAGTAGGAGTAGTAGTAGCTTCATTCATCCAAGAAATAGTACAAATAGCAGTAGTAATCGTAGTAGTAGCAGTAGTAGTTAGTCATAGTAGTAGAATTAGTAGTCAGACTAGAATAAGTACCAGTAGTACTAGTAGTACTAGTAGGAGTAGTAGTAGTAGTAGTAGTAGTAGTCGTCGTCGTCGCAGTAGTAGTAGTTGTAGCAGTGCTAGTAGTAGTAGTAGTAGTAGTAGTAGTAGTAGTAGTCGTCGTCGTCGTCGTCGTCGTCGTCGTCGTCGTCGTCGTCGTCGTCGTCGTCGTCGTCGTCGTCGTCGTCGTCGTCGTCGTCGTCCTCGTGGTCGTCGTCGTTACATTTCGCCCTTTCGCGCGGGGTGTGCGCCGCGTCCCATTTCTGCCACGCATTTCGCGACGAAGACCACAGGACGTCCATGTTGAGAGGAGAAACGACGATTTCGCGTTGTTTTTTGAAGGTTGGGATGGGACCCCCCGGATTGGCCCCCAATCGTCCAGGGACAGGGCGAGTGGGAGTATATACCAAGAAGGAATAAGGATAGGAGTATGAGTATGAGTATGAGTAGGAGTAGGAGTAGGAGGAGGAGGAGGAGGAGGATCAGGAGGAGGAGGAGGGGGAGGGGGAGGGAGGAGGAGGAGGAAGAGGAGGAGAAGGGAGGAGGAGGAGGGAGGAGAAGGAGAAGGAAGGGGAGGAGGAGGAGGCTGAGGAGGAGGAGGACGTGGGAGACAGCAGGGGGGACGAGTGATGCATGGGGGGGAGGAAGACGGGGGAGGGCTCGGGAGGGAGGCGAGCAGGGGTAAGGAACAGTTTGGGTTCACAAGGGGCTCGACGTACTTGAGGTCCTGCCATGCCTTTTCCTCCAGCCCCCTCGTGAACGAAGGCGGCTCTGGGGCCTGAAAGGAGCCTTTTTCCTAATTTAACGTTCCTTGCTTCAGCGGCCCGACTGTAAGGGGGGTGGGCACCAGGATTGCGTTTGCATTGGCTTGTAATGACGGCCAACTTGTAGGCTCTGGAACTTCCATTGCCGAGTGCGTGCAGAGCTGTGCGCACGCCCACAAGTCGAGCGATTCTGGCGCGCCGCCTGGCCACTGGACACCAGCCCTTCTTTCTGGGTGAGACCCTGGGCGCGAGCGAGGTCCGAGGAGGCCGTGCGTTGCTCAGCTTCCACCGCGCTGTTGGAAGAAGAGCGTCCTCCTCTGGTGTTGGCTGGACCCGCAACGCCCGAAAATAGAAAAGTAAGAAACGCCATAAACACAAACTTCTGGCGCTCCGCGAGGATTTCTTGGATCTGCGCCAGGCCCCCCCTCCCTGGCGCGCGGAGCGCGTCAGGGGCGGCGCCAGCGCCGATCCGAGAAATCCGCGCGGAGCGCCAAAAATTTATGTTTGTGGCGTTTTTTCTTTCGGCGGTGGAGAAACTCCCTTTAGTAAACCTCCATTTAGTGAAAACAGCCTGGGACCGAAACTGGACCCGCAAAAATGACGCCCGCGACGCCCTCTCGCGAACCGAAAACGCCCAATTCGCTAATCGACGTGTCGGGGTAGGAGGTCTATCGACATCCCATTCTTCTTCGAGGAAAGCTGCGGCCCACGGCGGGACGTGCGCCGGGCACGCCGCCTCCAGGCGAAGCCTCCTCCCTCGAGGGGGAGAGGGTAGGAGGAGAGAGTAGGAGGGAGGAAGAGGAGGAGTAGGAGGAGGAGGAGGAGGACCGAGAGGACCCACACACACACACACTCACACACACACACACACTTCCCGCGCGCAGGTCCCCCCTCTTGCAGGCCCTGCTGCCACGACGACCGTGGAGCACTGCGCCGGACCGCCCTGCTGCGGGACTCCTCGAGGAACATCGCCTTCGCTTCTCTTTCAGTGGCTCTCTTCACGACTGTGGCTCCAGGATTTCGGCTCGCAGGTGTCGTGAAGAGTCACTGAAAGAGGAGCGAACGCGATGTTCCTGCTGCGGGGCTCCTCGGGCTGGGTTGATCCACGAAGAGGCACCCGGTCCCGAGGGACGACGGAGCCCTCCGTTTCTTCTACGAAGCCGCCACGCGGGGGGGGGGGGGGCCAAGCGCCAGCATGCGCCCTTCCACCTCATCAGACCGCGGCTCTTGCGGCTCGCAAGCCCGATGGCGCGGACCTCGCTCTCTCTCCCTTTCTCTCTCTCTCTCTCTCTCTCTACATCTCTCTCTCTCTCTCTCTCTCCCTTTCCGCCCTCCTCGACCCGCGCACCTGCCCACCTGCCTCGCGAACAGGACGCCAGGATCTCCAGCACCGACCGACTGCCGCGCAGGACGGGGAGAGGACGAGCAGGAAGGAGGCACGGGAGGAGCGAGGCGGTGGGGAGCAGCTGCGGCACGCGGAAGGGGGTGGCGCGAGAGGGGCGGCCGTCTGCTATGGGTACGCAGATCGGGTTCCTGTGAAGGGGCCCTGGGACACGCAAATGAACAGACAGAAATAACAGGATTCCCCACATGTTCTCATCTTTTATGGGTTTTCGTCTTCCCCCCCCACTTCCCATATGTTCCCATATTTTCTAGGGAATCGACGATTCATTGTCTGTATGTTTTCCCCTCCTGATCTTGGAAGGCAATGGAGACCTCCAAGCAGACCCCTTAGAAGGCTGCCCCCATCGCGGAACCCCCTTTCCAGCGCCGCCACAGCAAGAAGAGGACCCCAAGATCTGGGATCTGGCGTCGTGAGAAAAAGAGGAAGCCTGAAATCTGGCCAGAACCCTCAACCGCCACTTCATGTCCTACTCCAGTATTTCGGGCCCCGCCGACCAGCGAGTGTCCCACGCAGGGTCCGAAACAGGGCAAGACCTCCAGCAATGATCGCCGGACCTGAGGGGATGCAATCAAAACGTGTACTGAGGACGGGTTGTAAGGACGCAAGACCCTTGGAGGCCGAAATTGGGATTATTTGGGCGGCGGTAGCCCAGTGAAAACGGCAAAGGACGGGCCGCAGAGGTAAGGACACAATGGTTACCTAGATTAAGGCGCGCGTCCCTACTAGGCGCGTTGACTGTATGGAGGAGCAGCTGTTATGTTGCGTCTTCGGGGAACCTTGTCTGTCCAGCCGCGCCCCCTATCCGCGTCGCGCCCGTGCCGAGCCCATGCCGGCCTCGCCGAACCCGCGCCGAATCCGCGCCGCACCCGCGCCGAATCTGCACCGAGCCCGCGTCGGGCACGAGAAACAAAAGCACCAACTTCTCCGCCCGGAGGACAGGGATCCCTAGGGAGGCGGAGGAGGAAGGGGGGGCATGAGGAGGAGGAGGAGGAGGAGGACGAGGAGGAGGAGGGGGAGGAGGGGGAGGAGGATCAGGAGGAGGAGGAGGAGGAGGAGGAGGAGGCGGAGGAGGAGGAGGACGAGGCCCCCCCGAGATGCAGCGCGAGAGCTGGCCGGGCGGCGTGGCAGCTGGGCGGCAGGCCTCGGGCCGTCAGGCTCTCGCCGCGCCAGCCTGGCCGCCCGGGCCTCCGCCCGGCGCCGCCGGCGCGTGCGGGGCCGGCGCCCCCTGCGCGGACGCGGCCGCACCGACCCCCCGGAGCCAACCCGCATAGGAAGGATGCGCGATAAGGACGCAAGGGCCTTGGAGGCCCATTTCGAAGCTTTTCGAGCGGGGCGCGGCCAACGAAAGTGGCCAAGGCTTGACCGAGGAGGCAAGGATGCAAGGGTATCCTTGGGAACGTTGCCCATCCTTCCTATGCGGGTTCACTGTACCGTCACCGAGATCTTGGCGCTGCAACTTTTTCACCACGGGCGCTGTCGCTCGATTTTGCTGGGCCTGGGGCCCTCCCAGATCGATCCGGCCCGGAGAATGGAGCAGAAGGATAGGGTCCGGGGGTCCAGGCGCGATTCTTTCCGCTGCTGCAGCTTTTTTGCAACGTCGGATCACTGGGGTGAGCAGCACCTTCCGTGACGTCATCCTCGCCCTTCCAGCGGCACAAAGCCAAAACGCGAATGTGTGGAACGGGTGGTAAGGACGCAAGTCCCTCGGAGGCCGAGGTTGGGGTCTTTGGGGAGCGGCGGGCGAACGGGGAAGACGGCAGAGGAAGGGCCCGCGGAGGCAAGGATACAAGGGCACCCTAGATGAGGGCGCGCGCCCCCACAAGGCGCGTGGACTGCACGTGCGTCCTGGGGTGAGGCGAGCGGGACGCCACGGAAGGTGGTGGTCTATGAGGCAGGGATCACTTGGGCCGTCCCCAGACATGCGACGCCCCGATTTTTCAGAACGGTGCCCCTGCAGTCCCGACCCCTTCCCCGGGACCAGCCTTCCATCCTGATTAGTCGTTGTCTGACGCTCCCGAGGCCTGGTAAGGGCCCCTGGAGGTCGAAAGCGGCCCAAAACCTTGCGTCCCGACTTTTTACGACGCCATCATGTCTGGGCCCCTCACCTGCGGTCTCACGTACGTGGCGTAGCCGCCGGCGGGCTGCGAATGGCCCGCCGCCCCTCCGGCGCAGGCGCCCGCCTGCCCGGGCCGGAACACCACGGGCGGCGAGGCGCCCTGCGCCGCTCCCGCGGGCACGGTGCCGCCGGCGCAGGCGCCGCCCCCGCTCCAGGGGGCCAGCCGCGCGCCGCTGCTCACCGCGGGCACCGGGCGCGTGGGGCCCAAGGGGTCGTTGGCGGGCCTCGCAGGCGGCACGCCGCCTCCCGCCGGGGCGGTGGCCGCGGCGACGAGGGAGGGCCTCGCCGTCACGGCGCCGGAAGCGTGGACGATGGTCTGGAACCTCGATGGGCCTGTTTTCCACCACCGCCACCATAAGTTGGAGGGGCGAAGGAGGTGGAGGAGGAGGAGGAGGAGGAGGAGGAGGAGGAGGAGCCACATTTTTTACTCGACGAAAGGGCCTGTGTGCTGAGAGATGAAAAGGTGCACAGTACAGCAAAGCCGTCACAGGACCCCATCAGTTCCATATTCTCTCTCGGCGACGCGTAAGAGGAGGAGGAGGAGGGGGAGGAGGAGGAGGAGGAGGAGAAGGAGGAGGAGGAGGAGGAGGAGGAGGAGGAGGAGGAGGAGGAGGAGGAGGGAGGAGGGGAGGAGGAGGAGGAGGAGGAGGAGGAGGAGGAGGAGGAGAGGAGGGAGAAGGAGGAGGGGGAGGAGGATCAGGAGGAGGAGGAGGAGGAGGAGGAGGAGGAGGAGGTGGTGGACGGCCAGAAAGGCGGACAGCGCAGCAAATTACTCCAGAGCGCCGTCCGAATCCGACTCTTTAGCCGAATCGTCGGACGCGCTAACAGTACGTTGCCCTAGGGCACGAACCCTCGAGAGCTCGGACTCGTCGATGCCGAAGGTCGCCAGCACCAACGCTTTAGAAGCGAAGCCTGGGACCCAGACAGTCTACTCAGGCCTCGCGTCCAGGTCAATATGGAGGCGCGGCACAATCTCCCGCTCGATCTCAGCTCTTTCACACGCGCTCAACGGGCCAGGGGAGCCGAGCACGAGCAACGTGGTTGTGGCACGATAGTGGGGATGCTGACCACGACGAACTCTGTTCATCTGGTTCTTTATCCCTGGACTCGCAGGCTTCCCTTTGCAGCGCTCTCGCATAAAGAGGCCTGGTTTGTTGTCGGAGCCGTACGCCCCGCAACGTATACAGAACAAATCGAGGAGCCTTCGCGCGAAGGGTTCTCTATTTTACACTTCACGAGAGCACGGCCGTAGACATAAAAGGCTGTCGGAAGCTGGCCTTCCCAACAGTCTTGAATCGGCTCCTCCTCCCCCTCGACAACAGACGCCCCCTCCTCCTCCGTATCTGGCGGGGGTGCGGGCTCGTCAACTTCAATGCCGACGCCCTGCTGCCCCTGCCCTGACTCTGGCTCTGGCTCCCTACCCTGGCCAGCGTGCCAATAGCAAACGGGCGCTAGCCCCGCGCCTGGGACGGAGAGACCCACCGTGTCCTTGCGCGCAGCGGAGACTTCCGACAACCGGACTTCCAACCTCCTGGCCCATCTGCATGACTCTGCAGCTAGGGCTTTGAAGCCTCTGAACAAATTGGCATCATCCTCCGTGATGCCGTGCATCATTGCTCCAGCTTCTGCATAGGCATCTGCACTGTGATTCGTCCTGCGCTCCCACCAAGTCGAGCGGCCAGCATCTATGTCTGACGAGGTGGCATGCGCTAGTGTTTTATTCGCCTGGATGTCCGAGGCCTGGAAAGCCCTCCAGAAAGGCCCCCACAAGTGGCCCCTCGGAGCGCCCCACTCGACCCCGGCCCCCGGCCCTTTTCTCAGGACATCCAGGGTTGATTGACAATCCAGGTAGAGCTCAAAGGCCCCATCCCCAGATAGGTCAACATATGAATTGCGAAATCCTCGCCGTCTTTCGAGGTCTGGCGAGGCCCGAACTTGAAAGGGACTGGGCCGTAGGCCGCATGCAGGACAGCGCCAAATCGATCTACCTGCACCAGTGCCCATCAAGCTCAACTGACTCCTGGATGACCTGGCCACATCGCCGAGCCGTCGCTGAAGATGAGCCCCGTTAAATACCCCGAGGGGGGCTTGTCAATCCAGCGGACATGGGGCTCAAGCTCCACCCTGGGAAAAAAACGACATCGGCGACGGGAAAATGCCTCTCGCGAACCTTTCCCCCACCTCCCAGCCGCCGTCCCTCGCTTTGCGCGCTCGCTCGGCGAGCCATGCGGAGACTCCGTCTCGCCGCCAGGAGGAGGAGGAGGAGGAGGAGCCACATTTTTACTCGACGAAAGGGCCTGTGTGCTCAGAGATGAAAAGGTGTACAGTACAGCAAAACCGTCACATGACCCCAGCTCCATATTCTCTCTCGGCGGCGCGTAGAGGCGGAGGAGGAGGAGGAGGACGAGGAGGAGGAGGAGGAGGAGGAGGAGGAGGAGGAGGAGGAGGAGGAGGGGGGAGGAGGAGGGGGAGGGGGAGGGGAGGAGGAGAAGGAAGAGGAGGAGGAGGAGGAGGAGGAGGAGGAGGAGGAGGGAGGAGGAGGAGGAGGAGGGGGAGGAGGAGGAGTCCTCGAGGAGCAGGAGGAGGGAAGGAGGAGGAAGAGGAGGAAGAGGAGGAAGAGGAGGAGGAGGAGGACCCCCTCCCCCTCCTACTTGTGGTGGTGGCGGTGGAAAACGAGCCCACCAAGCCTGGCTCCCTGCCCCGAGGGCGTGGGGGTGCTCGCGGCCGTCGTGAGCGCCATGAGGCCCAGCGCCGGCATGGGCCCGCCTGCGGCCCTGTCGCCGGCGGCCGCGCCCACCTCCTCGGGGCGGGCGGGAGGCCGGCGCCCGCCGGCCCTCGCGCTGTCGCGCAGTTCCTCCCCGCGTTCCGCCCGCACCTCCCGCCCCCCCCGGGGCTCCTTTTCCCCCTTTCCGCCCCCTCTCCCATCTCGATGCGTCGCCTTCCCTGGGCCCGGCCCCCCCTCCCCTTCACCCCTCCTTTTTCTCACCTCTCCGCCAACGCCCCTCCGACCCCGCTCCCATCCCAGTGCTTTGTCCGTCCTCTCCATTCGCTCTTCCCGTGCTGTCCCGCCGTATGGCTTTGCTCCTCCTTCTCCTTCTCCTCCTCCTTCTCCTGCCTCCTCCTTTTCCTCCTCCTCCTCCTCTTCCTCCTCCTCCTTCCTTATTCCATTCGCTCTTCCTTCTCGTGCCCCCCCTGGCGGACCTGGCGGATCAGCAGAGGTTAGAGGCACAGATCACATTTGCCCCGAGGGCGCGAGCCCAGGAGCCCACCACCCCCACCCGCCCAGCCCGCCGCCCACGCGTCGCGGGCGCTGTGGGGACGACGACGGGCGACGGGGGTGCGAAAAAGAACACACTAGACTCAACCACAAACCGACATGGAGGGAGTGCCCGAACTGGCCAGGCTCTCGAAGAACAACTCTAATCGATAATCGATGGGTTGAGAGACAAGCACGGGGCCCTAGTGAGCAACGATACACATGTTTGACATCAGCCGCATCTCCAGCTGTCAATCTGCCAGAGCGGGATGTGCGGAGAGGTAGCTGGCCTACGCGCGCGAGGTCTGACAAAACCCATGCCTAACTCACCCAAACAAATCTGCAGGGGATGACCCATCGCCAAAGCCTTGCCCATCCCTAAGCCAACATGACAGCTACTCACGGTCCTACTTTATCGGGCTGTCCGAAAACTCGCGAGACGTATCCAAACATGCCTCGATTCAAATTCGCCTGGGGATCATTCTCGGCCATCCACCTCCCCGCTCTGACCAAGTACCCCAGATTCGGCCTCAGGCAGGAGCGACCCGAAAAACGGTTAGACTCTGGCAAGAAAGCGAACGGGATTACACTGCGCCCTTCCAGGTAAAGCTTGACATCCCAGTCCTCCTCAGGAGGGCCAGCGGGGACCTTTGCAAGCCAGCGCCTGGTGAACAAAGGGTCGGCATCGCCAGCCTCTCTGATTTGTGCGATTGTCTCCTGCGAGAAAACTTTCTCACGCTTGCACTGCCCATGGAAGAATGCCCACACTCTGTGGCGTAGTGTGTCTGGGCCTCCACAGCCGCACTTACACTCTGGAACAACAGAATAGCCCCACCCCCTTGAACGCGTGGCTGTGCGAAATGCCCCTCCGAAAACTTGACGGGCAGCACTAACTTCTTCGACTTCCAGGTCGTGCTTGCTGGCCAGAGCCTTAGCAACCAAGTCCCACCAAAACCCGCGGCCCTGGATGGGGCCACCGGAGGGACTCCGGCGGGCCTGACAGACTTTCCTGGCAGCCCGCTGGATCCTGGAGTTGTTCTACTGCGTCTCGCATCGCTCAACTACGAATGCAGGGCCGGCTACAATTCATCGAGAGGTATCCCCTCCAAGGTGGCGAAGAGGATACCCCGAGGTTCATCGATGAACAACTGAGAACTGAAGTTGTCATCGATGAACTGAAATTGTCATCGAGAAAGATCCCTCCGATAACCGTAAGGCCAAGAACCGTCCACCCCACCGCCCGACACTCGAGGAGGTTACTGAGCGGCCCTTTACTTTCCTCGAGCCACTTCTTGGCATCGGCCTCTGGAGTAAAGTTGCGAACATCTGCCTGAAACAGTCTGGTAAGCACTGGCGGTGGGAGTGTGCCATCGCGACGTCGCTGCAGGTCAGGGCGAGGAGCACTGGACATCAACAAATCAACACAGTCGCGAAAGCTACACATACTTGCTGCATGTAAAAGCTCTTTTGCTCTGGACAACGCCCACGCAAACTCGGCGCTGAGATCTTTCGACGACATGCCCAGTGAGACGTGTGCCCGTAGCCAGAGAAATTATGATGGGCTCAACGCATGGACATCTCCACCGATTAAACTGTCGGCACCACGCTCGTGATCGCCAACCTGGTCTCGAGCCCAAATCCGCCGACCCAACGGGCCAGAGGCGTGCAAAAATCTCCTGTGAGAATTTAAGCATGTTTCTAATTCGCGCGCGCGCGGCGGCCCCGGGGGGTCCCCGGGCGAAAACCCCGGCAAAGTCCCCGCAGGTTCCCGGCAGGGTCGGGTCAGAAATGCCAGAACTCCTGGGCGCAGCCTAGGGGGCCCCCAGAGCGCCCCAACGAGGCGCCCAATGGGTGGCAGGCCACACGGCCTGAGGCCAAGAGCGTTCCGAGATGGCCCACGTTTGTCTCAAGACGGCCCGAAAAGCGCCCAAGACGCTTCAGGAGGGTTCCAAGACGACCTCGAGAGGCCCTGGAAACGCACAGTTCATTGACTTCGCATGGGTTTTTTGACGATCCTGGCGGCACCGCCTCTTTGAGCCGCCGACCGCCCTGGACGGCCCAAGAAGCCCCAAGATCGCTCCAAGACGGCCCACAGAAACCCCCAAGAGAGCTCCCAAATGGCCAAAGATGAGCCCCAGACGGCTCAAGAGGCGCGAAAGGCGGCTCCAGGATGGCCCCAAGAAGTGGCCCAGGGGGCGAACCCGAACGGAAATTTCGAGCTCTCGGCCCCACGAGTCGCGCAGGAAGCTCCCAGAGGCCCCCATGAGTCCCCCAAAGGCCCCCAAGAGACCCCCGAGAAGGCCGCTGAGACCCCCAACAGAACCCCAGGAACCCCCAAGAGGTCCCCAAGGAACCCCAAAGAGGCGCCCCAGAAGCCTCAGAACTGCTCCCCTGAGGCTCCCGAGAGCCCCCCGAAGAGACCCCCAAAGCATCCATGAGGACTCCGACCCACAACCCAGGTACGTTTCGAAACTCAGCTGGAGCTCTCTTGAGCCATCTTGGCGCCATCCGAGGCAATCGATCGGCTCTCTTCGACAAGGTGGAAGCCACATCTCCAGAGATCTCCTCGAAGACATTCCTGTCTGCCCTTCCGTCCCCCCTGCGCACGAGCACACGACCGCGCAGCCGCGCTGATGCGAAACGGGCCGGCGGGGTGAGCGGAGCGATTCGATGAAACTGCCGGCACCATGTTCGTAATCGAAGAAGACGGTGAAGAGGTGCACCCTAGCTCTGGAGTGGCACCTCCGATCGAAAACGAACCATCCAAAGGACGAAGTCGCTCATCAGGGCCCTCGATAAGATCGTGATCGCCACCTCGCAACCAGCTCTCATCTTTCGGGCTCTGCTTGCCAATGGAACGTCCTGGCCGATGGTCACCCGCCCGCTCTTGGACGTCATTCTAGGGACACTGGTCCAGTAGTTGGACTGCAGCTCGTACTTGGTGGCGATTTTGGAACGAATGTGATTGTACTCTGGGCACTCGGCCCACGCGTGGCGGAAAGACGGCCAGAGCGTACCACAAGCAGCGCACGACTTACCTGACTGTCGACGCGTTTCTGATGATACCGCACCTGAGAGGAAGACACAGAGGAGCTTTTTCTCAGCATCAGGCAGGCTACGAGCCCACTTGGAATAGAAGCTGTGCGCCGTGACATTCGGATCGACCTCGTCGATGTCCTCGGAGTCGTGCCGCTGCTGTGAAACTTCCTGGAAACATCGAACTCGAGCCACCGTTCGAAATGCGTGATGGAGGCGGTCTCATCCGTGGGTCTGCGCGTCCAAAAACGTGTCGTATTTGGCGCACAAGAGTCGCTGAGGGCCGCAACCACGCGGCGGTCGTCACTGGGGTCATATTCCAGCAAGCATCCTTGGTTGTCCGAGTAGCGAACAAGAAAGAGGCCCAGCTGTTCACAATGAGCTCGGATGGTTGTCTCGACGAAGACGCTCCATGCGATCTTCGTGGCCCACTGTGTCCAGGGCGTACATGGCTGCCCCCAGGTGGGGGTGAAGATGGACTCGTTGTGCCCACCGCCGTCCTCGGCACCGCCACTTCGAAGAGGCACGCACCACTGCGCGACGAAGAAGCCGGGGGACCTCCTCAGGCAGCGGTGCTAGAAGCGGCGACGCCCAGTACCAAAGCGGCCTGACGCATGCAATTGCGAGACGTTCTCGTGCATCCACGCCTCCAGGGATTGAGCTCGACGTCGTGATCGCCCGAAAGACTTTGCCCCACCCTTTGCGGGGCAGGATGGGGTAGAATGGGCCCACCCGCCTGCACTTGATGCCGAGGTGCTCGATGATGCTGGGAGGATCGCCATCTCGACTCCGAACTTGTCGCTTGCCAAGGTTTTCTTTGGAACCACAATCACTATCAAAGACCTGCGTAGCAGCCAAGACGTCTGCCACCAGCTCGCTAGATAGGTTGGCCAAACTGCGGTCATCCATGTAGGCGTGGCCATTGCCTGGTTGCCATGGGCACATTGTTGCGCACATGGCGGCGGGGGCGGTCGAGCCACCCTGCGGCAATCCACGCTCTGGCCATGCTGGGCCAGAAAAATGCCCAGCAACACTGAAATATCTTGGTCCTGTCCAAGCTGCAAGGGCTGCGTGCGCCGCCGCGTCGGGCGCTGCACGCCGGGATAAAGCTGCCTCTCCAATCTCGTGGTCGACGCCGTCGTGCGCCCGAGTAAGGTCAAGTTCAGCTCCTGCTTCATTCTGGGTAACGTCGCACAGCCGCCGACTGATCGCGCGAGCGACTGATATGCCTTTCTTGCAACTCATCCCAATGCACTCGGCCAGCCTCTTACCAATAAAGAGGCTACACTGATGGGTCGAAGATCTGTCTCGGACTTGGGGGGGCCCACAACGCGCCAGGGACACTTTGTTCAGAAATGCTCGTGGAAGTCGCCCTTTGGACTCCACAGCATAAACAGAGGTCCGACACCAGAGCTCGTAGAGCTCTTGCGCCAACACAAGACCTACTTCCTTGATGATCATCAGCTCGTGGGAACTCCAGCCGTCGAATCCCGGGGCTCCTGACGCGC